CAATGACGAGAACTTTGAATTATGAGAAACACTTCATAAATATAGTGAACTGGAATCTTGGCACAAGTTGATTTCAACTCTTTGGTCCTAATCCCAATTATTGCAGATTTTAATATTAATTAATGATTCATTATTGTTTTGCTTTGATTGGATGAAGAATTATACACTGTGTTTATGCTTTTTCTTTTGATAAAAACCTCAAAAGTAACGGGTGGGCTATGGTGGGAAATTCGAGAGATACTTTCTCCGAATCGGATCTCTGAGATTCCATCGAATCTTACTTTTTAATCATCTTATGTATAATCAGTGTTAATTAAGATTATTTTCATACTTGTTAAAAATCAATGTATATTAAGATTCTGTTAATACATATGCATGGTAATTAAGAATATTTTTTCATGCTAACAAGAAGGAAAGTTATTAATGTTGATACATGTAATAAATCTTTAAATTATCAATTAACTAAAAGGTATCTTAAATGTGATTCTTAAAGAGATCTTGTTCTATAAATAAAATCGATATTAATATAAAGCAATACACCTTCCTTCTGTCCTAACATATAAAACTCCCTTAATTAATTCACATCTTTTATAAAATAGGTAAAATTTATTTTTGACACAAAATTTGTTAATTTTGTGTATTGTTGTTATTATTCTTAATATACTTTTAAACTAACCATCGCCCATCCTTTTTTCAACTAATTAATTAATGTGTGGAGAAAAATAATAATTTTATAATTTGTGACTATTCATCTTTTATTTTAAAAAAGAGAAAAAAAAGTTTCATTAATGGGTAGTATTAACTATTTCTTTTTTAAAAATAAGTAATGCAAGAACACTGAAAAAATATATTATGAAAAGAGATAAAATCTTTAATATAAAATGATGAAATATAACACCACCTATTATAAAATATTAACTACTGGTGAAAAAAAACCTTTTTATACGGGTTAAAAAAAGACTTTATATATCGATTTCAAAATTGACATGGAAATTGAAGGTATAGAAAGTTTTTACAATTGAAGGTATAGAAAGTTTTTACTTTTCTATACTGTTTTAAAACCTTACATCGGTTAAGGCAACACTCGGTATAATAACTTAAGGTTCTTTTTTCTTCTCCTTACCTTTATGCACCACCAATCATATATGTTGTCATCATTAGTGTTCGACACTTCTGCAACAACACATTGAAGTTCATAACAAAATCAACCTCCTTTCGAAACTGGTAATCCACAAAATCAACCAAGGACGATATAGATATGAAGACAAAGACTTGCTCAAACGAGTCGTTGAAGGTGTATACAGAAAATGGATGATTTAGAATAATAGAGTCCTCCTATCTACACCTCTATCGAGTTACGCACGTTGTCATCATCACTTGACGTGACTAAAGACGTCGCACCTCCCATATGCACTTTTCTTCTTCACCCAAGACCCCAATCGAGCCACCACTCCATTGTTGCTACCTTCAACCATTTAGAGCTATCATCATTAATGTCGAACAAAATCAAAGTAATTACTAGTGTTGATCGCCAACGCATGAAACCCTTCTCCTTCTCCTCACTCACGGGCAAGGGTTTCTCATTCTTATTCTCGTTGGACCAGGCATGTTGCCACACCACGTCACTACCGTTGGAGGTGTCGCCAACAATGCCATTTTGTCTTCCTCTACTTCGATTACGAGATTTGGATGTAGGCAATGAAGAGGCATGGAGGATGAGAGAAAGAGTTTCCAGATTTAGGTGCTGAAATGAAAAATGGTGGCGGCTTAGTGTGTTGGGGGATGAAGATGAAAGAAAGAGGGTTTAATGTGTTTGGGTTTGTTCTTTATGGGAAATTGGGTACCCAAGAGTCTCTTGTTCAACTTCATTTTCTAGACCTTGTGGAACATCTTGCATTATTTACAAAATTTTTAGTGTCACTTTTTACACTGGTTCTTGGTCCAACCATTATAGAAGATCTTGTATTATTTACAAAATTTTCATCGTCTCAAATTTTATACCTAATGAATTAAAACTGGTATAATATGTCATTATGAAAAGAAGTTTCATTATTCATATTTAAAATGTTTTCATAATATATATCCAAATATTCAAACAAAATCAATTTGTGATCTAATCGATCTTAAATATTACAACATCAAACAATTACACACTTATACATTGGTTAATTGAATAGAAACATCCATTAACTTCAGTTAGGAGTGAGGAACAAGAACTTAAGTCACTCTCACTATCTAAAATGCAAGAGAATTTATTGAACCTCCATCCTTCAAACTAGGACATTGTCACTTGACCATCATAATGTGTGCTTCAATTGCCTATGCATGAATTTTCAATTTAGTTAACAATATTATTTAGTTTATTTTAACATGCATTGTATTTATTTTATATTACACTATTAGTTTTCTGTTGTTGTTTATTGTAAATAATTTTTTTTGGAGTAGAAATTATGGTTTGAAATATTGCTTTTGTGTTGTTGTTTCTTGTAAATAAATGTTTTAAGAGTAGAAGTTATGGTTTGGAATATTGCTTTTATACACCCAACTATTTCATTGATATAGTGTTTTATCTTTTATATTATGCATTAAATATTATCTAATTAGAGGATTGATGTAACATTTTGAATTATATGTTTTGAATTTTTTAGTTTATGTTAAGTTATTATAATTATTTTGGCGTGTTTGGTCCTTTATCTATGAACAACTTAACACTTGAAAATTTTGAATTATTTGTGATTAAAGATATAACAAATTAAGTTGTGTCACAATTGCAAAATTGGATGTGTTTAGTTAATTTTCATTTGAGCTTATTATTATTATTATTGTCCTTAACAATTTTATTAAGTTTCTCAAACTACTTAAAGGGATTGGGCTATAAGAACAATTTTACTTCATAAAGAATAACTATTAATTAATTCCATGGATACTTGGAATATTTGCATCAAATGAAAAGGACAGGAGCATATAAAAAAATGAAATAAATTTTTTTCACTTTTATAGTAATTGAATTATACTATAGTTGTAGTTAATTTTAAACTTCGTCAATTTTATGAGTAATCATTTATGTTTATTAACATGTTGTTCAATAATTTCAATCTCTTTGGACAATTTTTTATTACTACAAGTTTAATCAAATTTTACTTCACATTTTAAGTCAACTTATTTTTCTTTTTTATTTGTGGATTTCCTCTCCATTTAAAAAGTAGTTGTATTTTTCTTAATTATTATAATTATTTAATATATTTTTATGAAGCTTGTATAAATACATTGTCATGCATTATGGAATATAACAAATGATGAATTGTTGAGTAAGGCTTTAAGAATTATCTTCCTTGTTTCATGCTTAAGTTACCCATAAATTATACTGAGGTATTATATAGTATCCCATTGATATGAAATTGATATAGTTGGTTAAACTTAGTATTATAATTGTGAGCCTTAGTAAAAGTTTAGGTGTAAAAAAAAGAGAAAATGTGTAGGTATAAAACTAAAGAGAGAAAAATTATAGTAAGTGTTTTTATATATTTTATTTAGATGAAGAGTCTTATAAAGATTTTTATATAAAGATTGTTGATTTCTTTAGATTCCATTGAATTGAATTTTATTTAGATGTAGAGTCTTATAAATATTTTTATATAAATTGTAAAGAAAAACAAGATTAATTGAGGTTGTTGAAATAGGAACTTGTCCACTAAATAATATTATTGTAGTAATTAGTATTATGGATTTTAAGTTTATAGGAAATAACATACATAAGTGAGAAAACCTTTGATAGAATATGTTACTAATTAAATTTAATACTTTATTCTCACATATTTGTCTGAACATAAAAAAGAAAGGTTGAGCATGATAGAAATGATTAATATAAAATAGTGTATATATATATATATATATTAAAAGAATTGTATGATTGAGGGTAATTAGTTAGAATTACTATGGTCGAAAACCTTTTCTAATATGTGCATTGAAATTTTAACTTTATATTAACTTTCAATGTATTCAAGTCTTAATTAAAGAATTAAATTATAAATATTACAAATATTTATATATGATTTTAATAATTAAATAACAATTTAATATTAAATAGTTATATTCAATTTATTTAAATATTTTAAAATTTAGAAATACTATAATAATAATATTTAATATTAAATCAATACTTATTTTGAAGGTTTTGGACTTTATATTATAAATAAATATTCAATTGTTTTTTAATATTTTTTTACTCAACTATCAATTTTGTTTAAAATGGATCAATTTTAAATTTTTTGTTAAATTTTTTGTTTTGTTTTTTTTTTTAGTTTTTTTCATTTCATTCCTTCATTTTTATTTGCATACACCACTCGTTCATCTTTTTCTTCCTTTTTTTCTATATCACACCTCCATCTCCTTTCTTTCAAACTTCAATTAACTTTATGATATAACTTAGCATGTAAAATCCAATAAAATTGATTCACATAAATTCTAGAAAAGTTTCATCATAAAGGTTTCATCATAAAGAAGTGTAAAGAAGAAGAAAATGAAACTCAGAAGAATTGGATTCATTTTCTTATTTTTGTCTAATGTAAGACTTGGATTCACTTTTATATTCTCAACAAAGTTAACGTCAATTTATCATAAGAGTCAATATTGCACAATTTTAAACAAAATTGAAATTCAATTGAGTCAAAGAAAAATATTGAAAAATAATTGAATATTAACTTTAAATATAAAGACTAAAATATTAATTAAATATATTTTGAATTTTACAACTTAAATAAATAATTAATTTTTTTTATGAATATGTGAGTGATTTATAGTATTTCATTATGTTTTATTTTAAGAGAAAAAAAATCATTATTATTATATTATTATAATTTAGTCTTTTAATTATGTTATCATATGAATACTAATAATTAAAAATAAAAATGTTATTAATATTTAGTAAAATTTATAATAATGACAAATGTAACATTTATAGGAAAACAATGATATTAATATAAANATTTATTCTTCCACACCCTTTTTGCCTTCTCTTTTTTCACACTAATGAAGAAAGAGAATGCTTCTTCTTTGAACTGGGCACTCTTTCACCAACTTGTGTGGTGCCCAATTATTCCTTGGCAGTGTGAGAACTGCTTCTGTGCCCTGATGATGCCATCAGAACACCAACAGCCACGATAAACATAAACAGCATGCTCCCTAGCAGCATATATGTTTTTCTTGATGATCTTCTGTACTCCCCAAACAGAAGAACACCCCAAAAAGTGCTTACAAGTGGAAGTGCCTGTTTGATCAACACACATTGTTCAAATGGTGAAATCATTCAATAGTTTATTAAATTTTGTGGTTCTTGGCTGGTTTTTACTTTCAGTTTTAGTTGTTATACTTATGATTAACAAAGTGATATGAATACTTTTTTAGAGTTTAAAGCTGATGTACTGCAAGTATAAAGATTTTACCATGCAGAACAATTATACGATTCAATGACAATGTAAACAACTTTTACAGTGTCACTGCATTTCAATCAAATTCCTTTTTTTTTTCAGTAATGAGACTAACCTGGACAGCATCTGCTGCTGCATATCCTGCAGCTTGACCACCCATGAATTGGAGGCCATTCCCAAAACCACAAAGGAGACCAGCCAACAAGGCCCAGATTCTTCCATCAGAGTCTGCCAAATAAGCCTTCAATGATGACTTTGGTAGGTTTAGGACAGGGTGGTAGAGGAAGGTGATGTTTAGAATTATGGCAATAACAAAACAAGAGATTGAAAAATAGAAGAAGGCAGTGTAAACTGTCAAATGGGGAATCCCTTTTGGCAAAGTATGCCACTGATCATTTGTTGCCAAGTTGAATGCTGGTGAGAACATAGAGAAGCAAAGTCCAGCAGAGAAAGTAAGAGCCAATCCAATCAAAGTGCTCTTCCCAAATACCTGAAGTAGAATTTTAGTTAGATATTAGGCCAAGGATTTGGTTTGTGGCAAGTGTATTATGTGCCATACAAGGTTGATTAGTAGAATGCATGACTAAGACATTAAACATATCAAAAAGTATAGTTGCATGCCTTAATTGCTCTTCTTTCCTCAAGCTCTAAAAGGAAAACTGCAGTTCCTGCTTCAACATTGTCTGCAGAACTACTTCCCCTTTCGAGATCTTTTGATTTAACTACAATAATATATGTTGAAAAGGTAGAATAAGTTGACATGTTATCAGACAAAGAAATTCCCTTCACACATTGAATCATATGAGAGCTTCTTACCTAAATCACTTTCCTTTGAAGAGCTGCTGGCACAAAACAAAAGGTTGCAGATAGAATTAGCAACACACTAATAAAGAAAGTTGACAAATAACAATAATAGAGAATCAGTAAGGAGCATTAACCATAAATATAACTACTATTCATTTCTCAATATAAACTGTATTATCAGCAGCAAACAACACATACATGGCTACTTCTTTATAATCACTTGTGTAATTGTTGAGCTTTGCTTTGTTATCAGAAGCATTGGATGAATGAACGGCAGAACCTAGAAAAACTGCAATCAAAAAGCAACCAACTCCTGGGAAAAGGATCTCAGCTTTGTTGATTTTGTCATCCAAAAAGTAATTCAGGGTTGTGCCTGTTACAATTGGAACAAAGTTCTAAAGTTCAGTAATGGAACAAGCTGAAAATCATCACAGAACTCAGAACTTATTAGTAGATAGCCTATGCACATATCACTGACTGTATTTTTTCTTGAACATTCAATTATATATGTAAACTTATTGACATAATGTAATTTGTATAACCAACCCATTTCATGTTGTTATAGTTATTGAACATCTTGGAGTGGTTGTGTGATTGAATTACCTATAACAACAGTTATGCTGGCTGTGATCACTTCAGTAACTGATAACCCAACAAAAGCAAATGCATATTGTGAGGATAGATTCCCTAGGCTAAGGACCACTCCACCCCCCATTGCAAAAAGAACTGAGGGCCAATTATCCTGCAAGTAGTAACTTAATGGTAAGCCAAAGAAAAAAGAAAAAACGCAACTGCATATCATGTTCAAAGCAAAACATGCTTTTGTACAGATTGGTAAAATTAAATGTGGTAGATGGTACTAGAGTTTAAATTTAAATGAAGAAATTATTAGAAGATTCTGAAATAATGTTTAGGTGGGCAATCTTTAAATTTTACATCTGACATGAAAAAATTCATTACGTTTGGTTATATGTGATGTAAATTAGCAGAAATCCTGACAGTTCATTATCACCTAAAATTTTTTCGTTCATATACTGGAATATTAAGCAAAATACTCCAACCATCCTTAGATTTTAGTGATCTTTCCTCATGTTCTCTTTAGTTAAAAGCTTGCATGTACATACTCTCCTTTTGAAAAGGATTAGTGTATTTATTATCCAAATTATAAAGATGGATTCTGGAAAAACTGGTACAAGCAGTGAAAGAAGGAGTTTGCTATTATAATTGATCAACATTTTCCGGTTGAAATTGAAAAGCATATCAGTAGTGGACTAGAATTGTTTAATACTCGAAAATTGAGAAACCAAGTGTATAATTAAATTTTTGTAAAAAGAAAAATTGCACATTAAAAGAACTACACAGATGAATATTGAATTTAAGTGATGGATTCAATACCATCCATCATTAAGCTTTTAAGATAAATCTGTGTTAATCCCGAAAATCGTCGAGTTCCTTTTAATTATAGAGTATACAAAACTCCATTCAATATTATCTCTTACTACTGACAGAATAAACTTCAATTCTAATTAGTGATAGGTACTACTCTTGTATCAGTTTTTTCTTCTTTTAAAATGGATGAAGAGGACTAAAATTGTCATTTTCAAAGTGTAGTGGCATAGGTCTAAAGACCAAAACGTAATCTACCCTTTATTCTATGATGATAACACCAGAGAAAATACAATGAACAAGCCTCCATACCTGAGCAAGTTGCGCTAAGAAATTTGGCTCATCTGGTTTGCCCTTGCCTATCTCACCAAATGTAAAGGCAATGAGTAAAGCAGCAAAGAAATTGGTGATTGAGTAATCAAGGTAGGTATGCTGAGGAAGACGACCACGCCTCTCTAACATGGTCAAAAGTGCAGGCCATGTTCCCAAGAAGAAAAGAGCCAAGAACATGCATGCTATGGCTCCTCCTTTGCTCTCCACCAAATACATTTTCAACCCAGTAGTGCACAAACTGCTCTCAGATAATGAGGGAACCAAGGAGCAAAGGCCAGAGAACTCCTGAAAGCAGCATGAATTAGTCACTCTTCAGAAAAGTACAAGATGCTGAGCTATTGCTGAGCAATGAAAAAGGGGTTAGAAATTCATGCAATATGAGTAGGAGGTGAATCTTTTGAAACTGTTTGAAAATCACTGTCAAAAGCAAAGGATAAACTGTGCAACAACTGCATATAAACGGCTTAAAAGTTACTTCTGACAATGAAAAACTCAATTTGAATAGGTGTGAAAAAGAGAAACACTAACTACACTGTGCACATAAACACGGCCATCAGGTGTTAGATCTGGCAGGGGGTAAATCTAGCAGAAGGGACAAGTTCCAACAATTTGGTGAACAAGGTTTGAATCCATAAAATGAGTGTCTTGTCTACATTTATTGTTGACAGATGACAGTGTTTCAATTAAGATTGTTAAAAAAAAAAAAAAACTGAAAATAGAGACTGATTATGAGGGCATCCATGATAAGTCATTGAAACCTTAACAAGTCAGCTGATCCTCTCCACTGATATGAAGAAAGGGGTAACCAGCCAAAAGACAAGTATATAAACGAGTAAAAATTCAGTTTTTAGTTAACCAAGAAGAACCCAAATGGAGAAAGAGAAATAAAAGACGAAGAATCTTCAGAAAGTCAAGCATGGAAATTCACATTGAATGGCTTAGAACTGGGAAAGGATCCAGCTACCTTGGAATCCATGGATCAGAAAGAAGAGGAAGTCACAAAAGGAAAAGTCAAAAGATAACAGCCTTTGTGGTAGCAAATCAGCCATTAAATAAAAGGTCAAACAGTGATTTCAAATCCACCCAGTTGCTTCCAGCCACACACAAAAAAGCAACAGTGGGCCACCTGATAGAGAAATGTTTGAAACTTTGAAGCACTAATCAGGCCAAACTTTCACGGAAAATGATTTCATAATCTCAAAAATCTATTGATGGGTGAGAATATTCCACCTCTGCTGATCTGCATTATTGGAAGTACTCACCAAGAACTGTACGAACTCTGAAAAACTGAAAGAGAAAAGGAAGAGAGGTGGATGATTGTGTGAATGCAAATGGTCCTTTGTCACATTCCAATGAAAAAAATATCTAATACAATGACGAGAACTTTGAATTATGAGAAACACTTCATAAATATAGTGAACTGGAATCTTGGCACAAGTTGATTTCAACTCTTTGGTCCTAATCCCAATTATTGCAGATTTTAATATTAATTAATGATTCATTATTGTTTTGCTTTGATTGGATGAAGAATTATACACTGTGTTTATGCTTTTTCTTTTGATAAAAACCTCAAAAGTAACGGGTGGGCTATGGTGGGAAATTCGAGAGATACTTTCTCCGAATCGGATCTCTGAGATTCCATCGAATCTTACTTGGTGAATCATCTATGTATAATCCGTGTAATTAAGATTATTTTAATACTTGTTAAAAATCATGTATAGTAAGATTCTGTTATTAACATAGCATGGTAATTAAGATATTTTTCAGGCTAACAAGAAGGAAAGTTATTAATGTGATACATGCAATAATCTTTAAATTATCAAATTAATCAAAGGTATCCTTAAATGTGATCTTAAAGGAGTCTTTATTTCTAAAATAAAATCGATATTAATATTAAAGCAATACACCTTCCTTCTGTCCTAACATATAAAACTCCCTTAATTAATTCACATCTTTTATAAAATAGGTAAAATTTATTTTTGATTGTTGTTATTATTCTTAATATACTTTTAAACTAACCATCGCCCATCCTTTTTTCAACTAATTAATTAATGTGTGGAGAAAAATAATAATTTTATAATTTGTGACTATTCATCTTTTATTTTAAAAAAGAGAAAAAAAAGTTTCATTAATGGGTAGTATTAACTATTTCTTTTTTAAAAATAAGTAATGCAAGAACACTGAAAAAATATATTATGAAAAGAGATAAAATCTTTAATATAAAATGATGAAATATAACACCACCTATTATAAAATATTAACTACTGGTGAAAAAAAACCTTTTTATACGGGTTAAAAAAAGACTTTATATATCGATTTCAAAATTGACATGGAAATTGAAGGTATAGAAAGTTTTTACAATTGAAGGTATAGAAAGTTTTTACTTTTCTATACTGTTTTAAAACCTTACATCGGTTAAGGCAACACTCGGTATAATAACTTAAGGTTCTTTTTTCTTCTCCTTACCTTTATGCACCACCAATCATATATGTTGTCATCATTAGTGTTCGACACTTCTGCAACAACACATTGAAGTTCATAACAAAATCAACCTCCTTTCGAAACTGGTAATCCACAAAATCAACCAAGGACGATATAGATATGAAGACAAAGACTTGCTCAAACGAGTCGTTGAAGGTGTATACAGAAAATGGATGATTTAGAATAATAGAGTCCTCCTATCTACACCTCTATCGAGTTACGCACGTTGTCATCATCACTTGACGTGACTAAAGACGTCGCACCTCCCATATGCACTTTTCTTCTTCACCCAAGACCCCAATCGAGCCACCACTCCATTGTTGCTACCTTCAACCATTTAGAGCTATCATCATTAATGTCGAACAAAATCAAAGTAATTACTAGTGTTGATCGCCAACGCATGAAACCCTTCTCCTTCTCCTCACTCACGGGCAAGGGTTTCTCATTCTTATTCTCGTTGGACCAGGCATGTTGCCACACCACGTCACTACCGTTGGAGGTGTCGCCAACAATGCCATTTTGTCTTCCTCTACTTCGATTACGAGATTTGGATGTAGGCAATGAAGAGGCATGGAGGATGAGAGAAAGAGTTTCCAGATTTAGGTGCTGAAATGAAAAATGGTGGCGGCTTAGTGTGTTGGGGGATGAAGATGAAAGAAAGAGGGTTTAATGTGTTTGGGTTTGTTCTTTATGGGAAATTGGGTACCCAAGAGTCTCTTGTTCAACTTCATTTTCTAGACCTTGTGGAACATCTTGCATTATTTACAAAATTTTTAGTGTCACTTTTTACACTGGTTCTTGGTCCAACCATTATAGAAGATCTTGTATTATTTACAAAATTTTCATCGTCTCAAATTTTATACCTAATGAATTAAAACTGGTATAATATGTCATTATGAAAAGAAGTTTCATTATTCATATTTAAAATGTTTTCATAATATATATCCAAATATTCAAACAAAATCAATTTGTGATCTAATCGATCTTAAATATTACAACATCAAACAATTACACACTTATACATTGGTTAATTGAATAGAAACATCCATTAACTTCAGTTAGGAGTGAGGAACAAGAACTTAAGTCACTCTCACTATCTAAAATGCAAGAGAATTTATTGAACCTCCATCCTTCAAACTAGGACATTGTCACTTGACCATCATAATGTGTGCTTCAATTGCCTATGCATGAATTTTCAATTTAGTTAACAATATTATTTAGTTTATTTTAACATGCATTGTATTTATTTTATATTACACTATTAGTTTTCTGTTGTTGTTTATTGTAAATAAATTTTTTTGGAGTAGAAATTATGGTTTGAAAATATTGCTTTTGTGTTGTGTTTCTTGTTAAATAAATGTTTTAAGAGTAGAAGTTATGGTTTGAATATTGCTTTTATACACCCAACTATTTCATTGATATAGTGTTTTATCTTTTATATTATGCATGAAAAAATAATTTTGTTTTTTTTTTCTCTCTAGAGGATTGAGTAACATTGAATTTATATGTTTTGAATTTTTAGTTTAATGTTAGTTATTATAATTATTTTGGCGTGTTTGGTCCTTTATCTATGAACAACTTAACACTTGAAAATTTTGAATTATTTGTGATTAAAGATATAACAAATTAAGTTGTGTCACAATTGCAAAATTGGATGTGTTTAGTTAATTTTCATTTGAGCTTATTATTATAATTATTATTGTCCTTAACAATTTCTATTAAGTTTCTCAAACTACTTAAAGGGATTGGGCTATAAGAAACTATTTACTTCATAAAGAATAACTATTAATTAATTCCAGGGATACTTGGAATATTTGCATCAAATGAAAAGGACAGGAGCATATAAAAAAATGAAATAAATTTTTTGCACTTTTATAGTAATTGAATTATACTATAGTTGTAGTTAATTTTAAACTCGTCAATTTTATGAGTATCATTTATGTTTATTAACATGTTGTTCAATAATTTCAATCTCTTTGGACAATTTTTTATTACTACAAGTTTAATCAAATTTTACTTCACATTTTAAGTCAACTTATTTTTCTTTTTTATTTGTGGATTTCCTCTCCATTTAAAAAGTAGTTGTATTTTTCTTAATTATTATAATTATTTAATATATTTTTATGAAGCTTGTATAAATACATTGTCATGCATTATGGAATATAACAAATGATGAATTGTTGAGTAAGGCTTTAAGAATTATCTTCCTTGTTTCATGCTTGAAGTGACCCATAAATTATACTGAGGTATTATATAGTATCCCATTGATATGAAATTGATATAGTTGGTTAAACTTAGTATTATAATTGTGAGCCTAAGTAAAAGTTTAGGTGTAAAAAAAAGAGAAAATGTGTAGGTATAAAACTAAAGAGAGAAAAATTATAGTAAGTGTTTATATATATTTTATTTAGATGAAGAGTCCTATAAAGATTTTTATATAAAGATTGTTGATTTCTTTAGATTCCATTGAATTGAATTTTATTTAGATGCAGAGTCTTACAAATATTTTATATAAATTGTAAAGAAAAACAAGATTAATTGAGGTTGTTGAAATAGGAACTTGTCCACTAAATAATATTATTGTAGTAATTAGTATTATGGATTTTAAGTTTATAGGAAATAACATACATAAGTGAGAAAACCTTTGATAGAATATGTTACTAATTAAATTTAATACTTTATTCTCACATATTTGTCTGAACATAAAAAAGAAAGGTTGAGCATGATAGAAATGATTAATATAAAATAGTGTATATATATATATATATTAAAAGAATTGTATGATTGAGGGTAATTAGTTAGAATTACTATGGTCGAAAACCTTTTCTAATATGTGCATTGAAATTTTAACTTTATATTAACTTTCAATGTATTCAAGTCTTAATTAAAGAATTAAATTATAAATATTACAAATATTTATATATGATTTTAATAATTAAATAACAATTTAATATTAAATAGTTATATTCAATTTATTTAAATATTTTAAAATTTAGAAATACTATAATAATAATATTTAATATTAAATCAATACTTATTTTGAAGGTTTTGGACTTTATATTATAAATAAATATTCAATTGTTTTTTAATATTTTTTTACTCAACTATCAATTTTGTTTAAAATGGATCAATTTTAAATTTTTTGTTAAATTTTTTGTTTTGTGTTTTTGTTTAGTTTTTTTCATGTCATCATTCATTTGTATTCGCATACACCACTCGTTCATCTTTTTCTTCCTTTTTTTCTATATC